GGAAGAAAAAGGATGGTGATGGGAGAGAGTGGAATTCTTCCCTTTCCCATCTGATTTCTCTCTCTTTTTGTATTATAAGCGAGAGCAAAGAAGTTTTTGTTTGGTGGGTTTTCATTGATCAGTCACTCTGAGCTAATGTAATTATCCTCATCAATAGAAGGCTGCAGAGAGAATCATTATGTGGGTGACATTGATAAATGATCACCCAAGAGCTGCTTTTTCTCTTGGGCACCCCCACATCTGACCCTCCCACATACACGAGGTAGCCATAGAAACACCTTGAGCGCCTCTAACGCTATTGCTTCCAGTGAGAAAACATAACACAGCAAAGACCCAACTTAAACGCTCGCCTCTCAACTCACGGAAATCTCCCTAGTTGTTTTTTAAAGAATACGCTCTCCCCCTCCCCCCACATCTCAGCAGCCATAGTACCTCATAGCTATTGAGGAAAACACATCCAAGTGGCTTTGTCCTCAAGGAGTTAAATAACGAGGTTGCCTGCACTCGAGGGCGACGTCGCTTTTCTCTAAGTAATTGCGTGTAATGCAAAACCCATTAGTTCGAGAGAGGCGTTCTTTTAAGTTGCGCCATTGCACAATATACAGCGTCTCCCATCCAGCAAATAACTCAGCGGGCGAAGCGCTTTGCAAAGTGCCTCAACCTGAAATCATCATCACCATTATTATTACAACGACAAGGACTTTTGTATTTATTTCCTAAGTAAGATACAAAAAGAAAACCCCTTTAATCCTCTGAGTGCTTTATTTAAGCAATAAGAAAATACGGCGAGAGGTAATTGATTCATAATGGCGAGGCTGCAAAGAGGGTGGAGGTGTTTATTTGATTCCTAAAGCAGCCGGAGCAGGAGACTGAGGGGACGCTGAGCGGGGTTATCCGTCACGACTGCGGCGGGGACCCCTTCCCGTCGGACTCCCTTCTCCTCATCATTTCATACGGAAACCTTCCTTCGTGAGCGTCCACCCGCCCCTCCCCCTTCCCCACCCCGCCCCCGCTCAGGAGGGCCGGGCTTCCCCCTCCCCTTTAACAACTTGGCTAGAAAAAGTCTCGAGTCTTTTAATTCCCCTCCGTCTTTCCGCCACCGCCAGAACTTCTCTATGGCTGCAGCCCGTAGTGCTTTGGCGTAATGGCCATTGCATTCAATAGGCTTAGCGCAGAGTAACATGCCTGAGCTCGAGCTATACTAACATGCAGGAGCGATTTGGCAGTGACTCCCACCCCGCGACCTGTGCTACTGATTAGAGCGCCTCGCCGGTAGTTTTGGGGAATTGAATGCAGAGGCAAACGTGTCGCTGGCCGCCCACCTCGATTCCCTTTGCACGCTCCCAGAGGAGGAGGCCTGAGGCACGTTCCCTTGTGGCTCGATATTCTTCCACAACAAAGATGGCGGGTGGGAGGAAGAATGGCGTATATTTCCATTTTGCAGAGGCAGTAGAACCTGCCTTTTCGTCTTTTAGGTTTCCTTCTTCCTGGACCATATTTTAAATCGATGCACGCTTGTTTCTTCTTCTGGAGGAACATTAGGGTTGTATCCCTGTATCCTGGTGGAGAGCTTGTGTCCTAGAGTAAATTTTAGGCTGTGCTAAGGACACAAGAAACCTTTACTGCCCAGTCCTGTGTACCTTTGCTTGGAAGTAAGTCCTACTTTACTCCTAGTTAAAGGAGATAAGCTTACTTACTCCTAGATAAATATTAAGTGACCTTACAGCACATTTTTTGCGTGTCTACTCAGAAGCAAGCCTCAATGCAACCGACTCATTATTAGGCTGCAACCTTAACCTGACCCATAAAAAGGGAAATAGGGCCCGGCAAAGTAGCTGCAGCATGTGGAGCTAAAATCTTCTACCTTGTGGAACTTGATGTAATATTGTGTGGTTCATCTCATGTGCTTCTTGTTATGTGCATGTTTTATATATATATAACTTTCCAAGGGGAGTACCTTCTCCAACAAATAATTCTGCTTCTTCCTACAGTTGAAGTCTTCAAAGAACAGCCAAAGTCAAGTAAATGGCCTTGTTCTCTTGTCATCAATACACACCTTTCCATAACAAAGGATCGATCAATCTCAACCGTTTTTTATGTGATAAGATTACAGATTCCTCCTTGGTTTGTTCCATGGAATGGAAATTTGGGTGCCCCCCCAACCTATAAACAAGAGGTGTTTTTCTATTACCTTTCGTTTCCCAGAACATAAGCAATTTTAGTCAGACTACAGTATTTCCTTTAGCACTATGTTGCTGTCAAAACACTCATCCCGTTTTCTTTCACTTTTGACAGCTGAGCATTTCTTAAATACACCCAAATCGGAACCCTCCATACTAAATAGTAAACCTCAGATTGGAGCAATCTCCTCACATTATATTGCAGCTAGGATTCCAGCAACAGAACTCAAGCAGGTTAGGGTCTTGAAAGGCAACACAAATAATTCAGTTCATTACAAGGACCAGTTAAGCAAGGCCAGTTTTACCTTTTTCTTAAAAGTTTGCTTTTTTTCCCCAAAGGTCAGAAAACAGGTAGTACATTTTATTTAAAATGTTACCATTTTGTTTATGCAAATACCAAGAAAGGGATTAATATTTTTCTCTTACTCAAATAATCATATGTTTGAAAGTTCTCTTTCAGAGGTAATAGGTTATTGTTGCTATTATTTACTTCTTTTTATACAGCTCCACATCCAAAGCTCTCTAGGCAGTTATAGGAAAACCAAGAATCCTGGGGATTTACATTGGAACAAAATTTCTAAGTGTGGAACCCACCTCTTCTCCAACTGTAGATAAGTGCCTATAACATACAGCAACACAACACCTAACAAGTTTCTCTTATTGTACTTCCTTTTCTATTGTAAGCTTACATACTTGTCTTAAAATGAAATATCGAAGTTTGCAGTTCAGACTGTTTACTGTATTAAAGTTTTAAGTGGGCTTTTTGGCAGTACAATTGAAATGGGGGGGGGTGAACCATGCTGTCTGAAGTGGAATTCAAATTGTGCCCCCTCCTCCTGCTACAGCCAATGTCTTAGGAGGTCTTGATACGCCAATTGCAAATGGGACTTATTCTTACTGTCATACTGCTTCCTGCCACCCCAGTTATATCACTTGTACCAGGTTGGTTTCCATGTTGTATGGCTTGAGGAAAAATATTTAGGGCAATCAGCTAGATTCCTTAGAAAATATATATAACAAAACTCATTTCCATACAACTCAGTGGAAACTGCATTGCATTTAATGTGATGTAGATTATGCTCAGCGTCAACTCTCCTCTTCAGATAACAATTAGTAATAAAAAGAGGTCTTGCCATAAGCACCAGTTGACATACAACCCTATTTTGTAGTCTACACTAGTGACTGTTAAAAAGCCTTCGACTCATCCCCCTCCCAGAGTGTAAAGCACATGTAGTGAAGCATAAGCATGTTGACTGCTTCTTTGAATTAGACGGGTCTTGGTGAATACAATGACATCCAACCATTGAGCATGTAGCTTTTTTGTATGCATACTTGAGGTTTGGGTTTGACCTAGATCAGCCCATCCTTCCTCAGCTCATCAAGTTATCATTAGCCTTTTCCTTGTGTATGCAACTCCTCTGCTTCAGCCAAGAAACCTCTTCAGGAATTAAACCAGAAAGCTCTCATTTACTAGTGTTTTCAGATGCATCCATACTGGAAATCTGTAATTGCTAACTTCAGAACAAGCCAGTTATGTTAAATCAACTTCAAACCATGGTAATATCACAGCTTGTTGGTGTGAAAGATGGTGACCATGCTTTCCTGGGTTGAACATAATGGAAAACAGTTGTTAATTTAGAGACTGGCTGGTTTGATTTGAGCATGTTGTAAACAGAAAAGCAAAAAGGCTGTATGTTGGGCAAAAGGCTCTTGCATATTGTGGCATGATAAAGTGAGATATGACAATCTGATTGTGTTCCACCAGTTATATTGTACAAGCTCAAGTGAAGGAACCTTTACTTACCATTTGTAAATAAAGAGTAAAAACTCATCCTTGTCTCTTTGTTTCCAATAATTTTGTGGTAAAAATAGCAGCTTATTCAATTAAATTTTCACTGGGTGGATGCAGACTTAGTTATAATTAGAACATTTATTTCAATGGGTTTGCTCTAAATATGACTAAATCTGGATTTAACCCTTTACATTCAAACTAAGTTTACACTCTGAATGTATATTTCCTCTGCTGAATAATGCTCTTTCTATGATTCTATCAAGCTTTTTAAGTATACCAGTATTAAAACATCTTTTGTGTCCATTGTCCCCAAAATCTTGGCTTCCACGCACTCATCAATACAGATTGTTTGCACTGACTAACAGCAATAGTTATTTTATATATCTGTGGCTGCAATCCTATGCATACTTACCTGGCAATAAGTCTCATATTATTGGATGTAGAATGGTATATACATCTTGTAAATTAATGCAGTACATAAAGCAAAGTAGAACTTTGAAGCAAATATACATAGGATAATACTGCAAATATTAAAGATAATATTTTAAACCAGGTGCTGTTGGAATTAAATCTTTGATTAGGGAATTTTTTACTATTTTTGTAAAATAATTTTAGAAGAAAGAACTACCCTCAAACAGCTCACATCAAATAAAACAGTGCTTAAGTAGTGATATGTAACTGATACGTCAGGAACTAGGTCTGTTGTTAATCTACTCCTGTTAGTAACAACTCCATTGTGCCAACCTGTTCACTAACAGGTTCTGCATTAAAGTCAGCATTAAAGCCTTAGAGAGAAACTAAAATATACATAACTTCTTTTTGCCAGTTATATGTGAACACAAATGTAAAGATTACAATATGTCTAATAATCTGATATATTAGGCATTTATAACCTCAAATGCTCCAAGACCCTATTAATCTTGGATGTGTTTTGTCTGGATTATTATCTGTAACAAATACAAATGTTTCTCTCTCTTCCCCAGATAATACATTCTTCTAAGCATGATTAAAAACACAAAGTTCTAACAAAAAATCAAAAATGAAATATTTATTACCGCATTTTGTGACTTAACACCTTTTCTTTAAAACGTAACGTCACAGTCCTCATACAAGTATTTTAATGTAAATTTTGACAAAGCTTAAAGGTAACAGCATTTTTTTTTCTAGTGAGGAACACGTGCTGAGAAAGGAAGAATTCATGGACATACAATACCAATTCCACAGCAGATCTGATACTAGCAAAAACATTCTTTTTTTTCAATTGAGGTAAACACATAGAATATCTAACATGAAACAATTAATAGACCGAACTCTGTACGAAGTTTGTTACAGTATTCTCTTGCTTTTTCCCAAGCTCTGAGTTCATGATAAAGTTCTAGGTTTGGTGCAAAGATCATTAATATCTTCTTTTGTTGAGGAAAGCTGCCCAACCTTCAGATTTATCTTGTCCCAAGCCAAGGCTCAGAACTACTGGAAGAAGCTCCTGCTCTGTCTTTTTAAATCTTCACCTGCAAGCTCTTTGAAAAAAAGAGTCCAAAAATATCTTGGGCTTATGAAGCACAAACTATAAACGTCTGTTTGAAACTAAAGGACACATTTATGAAGGAACAAAACCAGGGGATGGCAAGGCCTTCTTGGAACTGTCTTCTGAGCGATGAGAGACCCAGCAAGACTTTATGTTCCTCTCCAGGGTAGTTCTTTTCTCACTGGCCAAAACAGGTCTGAAATATACTGTCATCTTTCATGGATAGTGACTTCACTGCTGAACCAAAACAGTCATTCTTTTGGGAACAACACACATAGTGTGGAAAACAAGGATATTATTTCTCTTTCTAAAAACTATTTGAAGCAACATAACGGAGTGATCAACAGAAATATACAAGTTAACTTAGTTCCTATGTTTATATACTACAGTAGTTATAACTCTTGGAGTCTTTTTTCCCAGAGGATCTTTACATGGACATAGATTGTTTTTCAGCGAGCCCATGAATTCACATTTGTGTTCTTGTTTCCATTGGTCCTCTGTTGTTGATGAAAAATGATAAAAGTAAAAAATAATCACAGCTGTCTGGAATTGTGTATTAAGTGTCATCATCTGGTCAAAGTTCAAAAGTCTTAAAATAGGGTTTTTTTTTCCTTTCCTTGAGTTCCCTAATACTATTGGGCATGAATGTCCATAAGCTGTCCACCGACACTGGGGTCTACAGAATTTAACATGGTGGGGCTCTGTGTTGACATGGTCATTCCAGGATGGGTAGGGGGTCCTCCGTGCATCATCATGGCTGGGTGATTGGGGTGACTTGGCAAATATGAATGGATTGGGGGTCCATGTCTTAATTGAGTAGGTTGAGGGGTCATCTGGGGAGGAGTGTAAATTGACTGTGTCATACTCATACCCATAGGACCACCCTGAGAAATGTAGTCCCCTGGTAAGCCTTGCAAACCTAAATAGAAAGGGAAATTAATTAGGTCAAGTTCCTGAGCATTTTTACAATTTCACCCTCCTAAAAAGAAACCGAAAAACAACAGACACTGCAAATACTCTCGCTAAATTTAGCTATAGTTACTTGCCAATGTTTACAGACATTCAAATTCTAGTTTGCATTTGATTTGAACATTCAGTGGGATAATGCACACAGCAGAACTAAATATTGAGCACAACCAAGTGTCATCAAATGTAAGAATATTTTTAAAATACTAGTAACTGGATTTCTAGCATAAATCTGATGTGGATTCATTCTGTAAGCAAAAACCTGTCAACTGAACATAAATATCAGATTTGCTTTTCCTTAGTATTTTGAAAAATGCAGAACACT